AAAAAAAAAAAAAGTATTTAGCGAAAGAAGAGCATGAACAGAACACATATATGTGATAGAAACCAAAACTGGTTTAGAAACATGTAGCATTCCAGTTTTCCAAAGGATTGGGCATGGATGGGGAAATAGTACAGCTGGTTGGGGCCAGATCACAAGTGTCTTAAATACAATGCTGGCATCCTGATCTGTACCTCATGTGCCAGAGATGAGACCCACTCAAGGCTTTTGAGGAAAGGAAGTAACAGAGTGGTAACAGCATCTGAATAGTGCTTTAGAAAGCTAGCTTTCTTTTTTTTAAAGATGCAGTCTTACTTTGTCCCCCTCAGTAGAGTGCCATAGCATCACAGATCACAGCAACCTCAAACTCTTGGGCTCAAGCAATTCTCTTGCTCAGCCTCCCAAGTAGCTGTGACTACAGGCACTAGCCACAACGCCTGGCTATGTTTAGAGCCAGGGTCTCGCTCTGGCTCAGGCTGGTCTGGAATTCCTAAGTTCAAGAATCTATCTGCCTTGACATCCCAGAGTGCTAGGATTACAGGCGTGAGCCATAGAAAGCTAGCTTTTAAACTTCCAATATTGTGGGAGAGAGGGAGCTAGCTATGCTGGCATAATGCAGAATGGTTCTGAGTATGAGAGGCAGGGAACCAGTTAGGTCCTTGGCAATAATCTAAGCTTCTGGTCAATGCTAAAAATCTAGCACAGAAATAATCTGGAAATAGTATGTCTATGAGATATTTTATAAGAAGAGCAAACAGGATTTAAGGACTGACTACAGGAAGGGAATAAAGGAGTTCCAAGGTTTTAAATGTGGATATTAGAGAAGCAAGTTTATCATGGTTTCATTTAATAGAAGATAGGGAAGACAGAGGGAGAGATGGTCAAAGGCAGTGGTTCTCAACCTGTGGGTTGCGACCCCATTTTAACAATGAAAATACATTGTGGCATTAGGAAGGTTGAGAACCACTGGTCTAAGGGAAGGTATAAACAGAAAGAAACTATAAGACTGACAGCTGAAACAGGAAATAATGAGTACAAGTTTTTTAAAAGATGTTTTTTAGGCTCAGTGCCAGCCACATACACCTGAGCTGGCAGGTTCGAATCCAGCCCAAGCCTGCCAAACAACAATTATGGCTACAACAAAAAATAGTCGGGCATTGTGGTGGGTGCCTGTAGTCCTAGCTACCTGGGAGGCGGAGGCAGGAGAACCACTTGAGCCCAGGAGTTGGAGGTTGCTGTGAGCTGTGATGCCACAGCATTCTACCAAGGGTGACAACTTAAGGCTCTGTCTCCAAAAAAAAAAGCTGTCTTTAATGTCATGAAGATATTTTTACTGAGGTATAACTTACTGTAGTAAAATACACAAATCTTGAGTGTACCACTCAAATATTTTTAGCCTGGCCTAGTGACTTATGCCTAAAACTCTGAAATGCATTTTGGGAGGCTGAGGTGGGAGGATCATTTGAGACCAGGAGTGAGACTAACCTGAGCAGAGCAGGACCTCAACTCTATAGAAAATAGAAAAATTAGCTGGGGATGGTGGTACATGTCTACAGTCCCAGTTACCTGAGGAGACTGAAGCAGGAAGATCACTAAAGCATAGGAATTTGAGGCTGCTATGTGCTAGGAGGAAGCCACTACATTCTAGCCTGGGAGACAGAACAAAACACTCTTAACAAAAAAAAAAAAAAAAATTTTTTTAAATGTATATACCTAAATAATCGCGATCCAGATCAAGTGACAGAACATTTCCAATATTCCAGAAGGCTCCCATGTACCCTCCTCAGTCAATAAATCCACAAAAAAGTAACCATTACTCACCTCTACCACCAGAGATTATTTACTTATTTCTTATAAATGTAATCGAATAATATTAATTCTTTATGTGTGGCTTTTATTCAACACTATGCCTACAAGGTTAATATATATTATCAGTATATACATCTGTATATTGCTGCATGTAGCAGAAATTCATTCTATTTCACTGCTGTGTAGAATTCCATTTTATGAATATATAAAAAAATTAAAAAAGGCTCGGCGCCTATAGCTCAACCGGCTAACGCGCCAGCCACGTACAGCTAAGGTGGCGGGTTCGAATCCCCAGCCCGGACCTGCCAAACAACAATGACGGCTGCAACCAAAAAATAGCCGGGCG